AATAATGTCACCATACGTTTTACGTGTAATGATCTTTAGCCAGTTTATTCCTTGTAAATGAGCATAATGATATTAAATTTGGCAAAAAGGTATTTTAGATATCTTTTTGTTATCTTTTCATTTTATACTTTTGGACAAGTAAATCCTTACTAAGCAACCCCTTATAACTCATTTCAGCAGTTCAGATTTGATACAAAAGTACTTATGTTTCTCTGCAATCACATTAGAAAGCTCAACTTAGTGAAATGGAACCCCTGTGAGAATTTCATTATTTTAAGAATGATTTTTAATAGAGAGGGAAAAGAACTACTCCAGAAGATTTTAACAAGAAAATAAACAATCCATAGACCAGTTTTATTATACTAACTTCTTTCCTGCTCTATTTATAAGGTTGCCTCCACTGTGGTAAACATATACGTGTATTTGTTAATGGTAAGTGTTACTAAATCGGAGTGTATTATTCCAGAGAGCTACACTGCTTTTGATTATGTTCAGCATTGCTTGTCTAAAATCCTTGAAAGACCTTTTTTCTATCAAGCATATATCAGTGACTTGAGATTATCAGATCTCTGTATTTTATTGTTTTTAATCAAGTCTGTAACTAATACAAACTAAGACAGTTTGTGCTGCAATACTTCCTTGTAACAAATAAACAAACTTCAGGTATATATGTATATTTATACTTTTAAACCAAGTTGCATGTTAAAATTTGCTCAGAAAGTCTACACCACAGCTAGAAGCCTGTATTGAACAAAGTGATGTGTGATACACTGGTGAGAACACTAAGTTAAATGCATCAATAATTCATACCATCAAGCACAGAAAAGCAAGAATTGTCTGAATGCTATGAACAACCCTATTGGAGTTAACAATAGCAACAAAAGAGTGACTTTGATGGTGTGAAATGGCCTATTGTGTGCTGAATCTGTACAATATCCTGGTCCTCAGATAGGATAAGAAAAGATTCAGACTTCATCCTTTGGTACATCCAGTTGGATATTTCAAGGACATCTGCCAGATGGCTGGAGTTTCAGACCTCTCTTTCCACAGGATTACATGCAGCAAAATGAACTGAAGAACCCTTACCAACTGCTCTCAAGAAGGCAACAGATATCAAATACAGCGTACTGTTCCACCTTTCTGTCTGACATACCTCTCTGAGATTAGCCATGTGACTGAATAGCAGAGATTACATACAGCAGATAATTCTTTGCTATTTTTCATCTCTTGTGAATCTGAACAGAAAACATTCTTATATGTAGATTACTTTTAGTTATTAGTAATTTGCATAGTTTTCACCACCAAGCTTTCTCCTTGTCTCATAAAGAAAAGGCTTATTGTTATATGTGCTGTACATTAGGACGCTCCCCAGAGTCCGTAAACACACACACACACACTTATGCACAGATGTCTCAAAAACTAAAGACAATTTTCTTTTCTCGATACAGCTCATTTCCAAGAAATGAGACTAGCAGCCATATTCTTGTAAACATGGATGCATCTTTGAAATGTTCTAACCACACTTTATGCAGTCTCATACTCTGTGCCAAGGAATAATTTAGTAAAGAGGATAAATGAGTCATGTTGCAAAAACCAGATGTTTATTAAAATCCACTCTTCCTAAGCTTTATTTTTTTTTCATTCTGTATTTCAACTGCTTTCTAAACTGCGACTGCTGAGGAATGGTAACTTTCCATCAAGAAAAAGGATTTTGCTCGTCTTGGACATTTTTGGTTACTTCCTGTTTATTGGAGTTTAACTGCTTGGTTGTGGGAACCAGGGTTTGACACATTCAACTCATCAAGCACTGACCAGTTGCAGCTCCAACACATACCAAGAAGTTACATCAGGAAGCCTTCTATAGCCTTTTAAATACATACCTAAAGCACCAGCCTTCAGGGCAATTCTCTAACCTTCATTTATCCAACAGACCTAATCCCTCATCTTGGAAATACCTACTGACAAACAAAGTCAGCGAGCCTTGGCAGAGAGCGCCTCCTTCTTCATAACTGTTGTCATATACTGTGACAGTTGAGAAGAGTTCTTTAGACACGTGAAAGGAAATAAGCTAAATTAATCTTTGCCCATTCTTCCCATCCCTCCACTTAGCATAATTCTTAGATAATCTGGAAGACAGCGCTATAGCGTACTGCAATTTATAAACGTCTGTAAGAGGCATGTTGCCATGCTCCACTGATAATGTTGTTTGTGGCATATACTCACAGATTCTTAAAAGAAAAGTCAGTTAGGAATAATATGATTTAACATTAAAGTTCTCCTAGAAATATTTAACGAACAAATGACTAGAAATGTGTGTATTAAGATCGCACTGCTAATGGCAATGGGTTCGCATTTATAAGACCGAGATTCTCCCTCAGACACATTAACAAACATTTTGTTAGAGATGGCTGATGTGTATCCTACCAGTTCACTTTCTTCCTCCTCTGCTGTATCCTTCTTGACTTCTTCTTTCTGATCTTCAATATTTGCATCAAAATCCTCCATCTCCACCTGTTCCAAAGCACAAGCACAGACTTACAAGGCACTGCTTGACTTCTATTTTTTTTTTTTTATCAGAGCAAGTAGAAGATTCAAAGTTCAAACAGAAGAGGAAAGAAAGGATTCATCTTGAAAAGCATGCTGATGCAATACATATGAATACTGGTTCCATTTTGACTTCCCTCAGAAGCAAGTTCCCTTCTAGCTACAGATGACTGTGTGGCAAAGCAGCAACTGTTTATTCTCGGCCTTCATATGCATTCTTTGTGCTACCAGTATCTGTAACAGTAAGAGACTTCTCTTGCTTTCCACACAATCACATTTCAAAACTTGAAATCTCAGAAAAAGATCTTAAACTTGCCATTCACACATCACTGGTATGGCATGCTCTGCACAGAACATCTCTATTAAGCCTCTATCTTTTATATATTTAAATATCACAGTGAAGAATAATGACCACAGAGATTAACATAATAAAGAAAACGGATGCTTTAAGAGATACATCTAACCCTGCCCATCCAATGGAATACTTTCTGGGGTCCACATCTGTAATGGGGATTCATATGTATACTGTGGAATACCTAAAACTCTCCAAGTACGTACAGTTCTTCATACCATTACTAAAACCTTGATGCACAGAGAGTAAATCCCAAATCTGCCCTTCTCTGAGTCTATTTGAGAGCTGAGCTGTTTGCTGTCCTCTTAAAGATTACTATTTTCTGATACAAAGAATTTGGAGATTCAAAACTAACATGCTGACCTCATGACAAACTGCAAAGAGTAAACTCTATTCAAACTTCAGCAGTTCACCAGTTTCTATGGCCATGACAAGAGCTGTTCTGACAGCAACATGCAGCTATGGTACATTCACAATGACAATATGGTTAATAAACTAATTTATTCCTAGAACTCATGAAACATCTGCCAAAGAAGAATGCAACAATACAGAAAGCTGACACATCAAAGATGCATGTCATGGCAAACTGCGAATGGAATAAAAAGGTAGCATAATTCCACAGCAAGTGTAATCTTTTGCTACATGTTATTTATTCCTTCATTCTCTGCTACAGGTCTGTATTTCTCAAAGCAGGGACCAAGAGGAGTTCAAATTTGTTTATTTACTTACTTATTTTCTCAAACTACTTCCTCAAATTATGATCCAATTAATCCAGTAACCTGAAAAAGTGCTGAGTTTCACCTGAGAGAGCAAAGATCCTCTTTAATTGATACTCAACAGTTGCTAAGAGCAAAATAGCTTCAACTCTTGCTCAAAGATGTGCAAGTCTGGGCTCCAAAAAGGTGATAAAAAGTAACATGTACCTTCATGTTTGGGTAATTGATAAGAATAATGGAATATACTTGTCTGACACAACAATTCTGGCTTTCTACAGGGCCAGGTATAACCGCGCTGCTGTGACCATACCTTTCTCTGCTTTATATTTTAGTCTAGTCACATCTGCATAATTTGTAATTTTAACAAGCACAGATATCCTCACCTCTTCGATAGCAGCATCCTGCAATAGGGAACGAATGTCCAGGCGCATCATGTGACGTGGCGCTGCCTCCCAGTGATCAGACATCTAACAAAAAAAACCCAAACAAAAATTAAGCATCTCTAAAAACGTAACAGATTCAATGGAAAATTGGGTTTCTGATCACAAACAAGATGTATCTGTACTTAAGAAAAGTAATTCAATAAATCCCATGAAATAACTACCAGCTCTTCTTAGAAGAAAAGCGTAAGCATTATGTAGTCTAAAAGAGGTCAACAGTTTGCCAACAATGGCAAGCCTGAAAGCACAATGAAACCTGTCATTAAACCTATGACTCCAGATGTATACAGTTACCCTGCTGATTTCCTTTAGCTTGCGTCCATGAATATTCCTCTTGGAACATGTCTGGTTATCTGCACTCATTTCAGCTAAGTACACCTAGAAAAAGAAAGACAATATTAAATACTGTAAATTAATTTTTAGAGCTCTTTTTCTACCTGGTGATACACTCTGCAGTTGTACATTCTAAGAAAGGTAAATTTGTAACTGTAGACCACAGCATTTTTCCTGAATGTGCGAGGGACTTTGCATTCAAAAGTTTAGAAATACCAGCATACGGGTGCTAGCAAGTTCAAATGCTTTTTAGGCTCCATTACCTCAAACCCCTTGGTTTTTGCAGCACTCCAAAACTGTTCAAAATGTCGCACTCTATCATTGATAGCATCAAGGATAATGAAGGGGAAGAATCCATCATCCAAGGTCTTTTTGAAAGTTTTAAACATGCTGGTACGATAGGTCTCTTCCATATCAGCTTCATATTCATACTCCATCACCTTTATCAAGGACAAAAGCATTTAAGAAAGAGGACACCTATTAAATTGCTAATGTTCAACTGCTGAATGTCATGACCACAAAGTACACTGGTATGAGAAAAACATCTTCCAGGTCAACTTTTAGGAATTTGCCCATTCTGCCCTTAAGTTATATTGACTTGTTTTGAAAAACATCCCACAGACCTCTGCACTCTTCCACAGTCACAGACTGAAATTCTGATTGCCACTGCGTTGTTCCAGAATGTCTTGTTTCTTTATCAAGATAAGCATCTGAATTAAAAGTACCTTCTTTTTAACTTTTTTCCCTGTATCTGGGTCTCTCTCTTCTTTTTCCACTTCAGTGATAAAATAGTCATCCAGGCTGAGCACTCTTGGTGCAGGTCCTCCACACTCTACTTCCTTATCCTGGGAAGAAAGCAAAAATAAAACATATACTCTTGCTGTTAAAATTCCATTCTGCTACAGATGCTTTTCAAAACACTTTTGGCAAACAGCAGTTCCCTGCTCTTTATTCAAAACAAGAAGAGAGCAGTACCCCTCATGCTTGCTAATAGTGAAGGGGATTCATATGCCATATGAAGATGTGGAATATGAAATAACAACAGGCTGAAATTCCAGACAAACAAAGAAAACATCAGAGGAAGTGCATGTAAAAGACAAGCAGCACTGCACACTGAGCAGCTGTTTACATACCCTGATGAGTTTTGCTACATGTGTCTTTCCACTGCCAGGCAACCCTCTCATTATGATTACAATCTGAAACAAAGATCATGTAAGAAGATAAGATACTGTACTACATTTAACAGAATCTCTTTTGCAAGAATTTTCTTCCAGAAAATTCTGTTCTCTGGGCTCACACTTTTGCATATCAAGCAAAGCCAGTACCATGTCTCACTGCCTATTTTACAAACCAGGTTGTGAGGAATGGTAGTAGTTCCACAGAATAAGAGTATATGATTAATCATCTCAGCAGCTTATACTGCATAAGATGTCATAGATCTGGTTCAGGTAAAATTAACTGAATGAAAGTTGTCTAAATGTTTTGTAGCCTTAATCTTATTCTTTCATATCTTATATGGTGCATTGCTAAATCTCTGACTCTGTGTAAAGCCGAGTCTTTCCTCTGATACATCAAAAACTCAAGTGAAGATTTCAGACGAGTCTAAAATACACTAACATTTCTTCCTAGCGTTCCCAGGAAGTTTACATCACCTGTGGACTCCTAATAGCTATGCTACAATACTCTATGCATTTGCAAAGAAATCAAGAGAATTTCCAGAGCTTCCTCAAATGTACGCTTGTTCCCAACATACTACACTCATGCGCATTTTATCTGAATACAGACCTCACAGAAACCAAATGCTGCTTTCAGAATGCACACTCACCCTCTCTGGCCTGCTATCCCGTCCCGGTGGCTTCAAAATATCATCTACATTTTTAGATTCTGGCTTCCTTTCGACTCGTGGAGCAGGTGGTGGCTGACGGGGCATTGATGGAGCAGAAATAGGAATCCTTTCCTCAGGGTAATTTCTACGATCACCTTCAAATTCCAGTGTTTGGACAGAAGAATTTTCTTAGTTCAGTAAAATAAAAAAATTAAGATGTTCATACCCAGCTGAGTTGATTTAAACAGATTTTCATTATTTTAGGATAAATTCACAGATTCGTCCTCAAAATAATTCAAATATCTAATCTTGAACCTATTGCAATCAGAGACATTTTTCAGCAGAGTATATAATTGTTCAGTTCCTGATCTCATCACTACTGAGAAACAAAACTACATGACACTACCCAAATAAATTTTCCTGAATTATATATTCAGAACAAAGAAATACTGCAAATCAATTAATCTTCTCCCAATTAATCTTCACTTCTGTGAGTCCATATTTTTTGTAATATTCTAGCATGGCTTCAAGATTGAGCAACTGTACCTCCAAACATGGAAGGCCCATGATCATATGCTGGACGATCTGTTTTTCGTTCATATGGTGGTCTTTCAAAACCACCCCGCCTGGAGGAGGGATGGTCTTTCTTGTCACGGTAAGACTGAGTCCTCGAAGGTGTAGTAGGAAGAACCCTGCCAAAAGAGTATTTTGAGTATTTCTGGAATTTCTACTACAGATTCCAGAGGGAAATGAACATGTTATCACAGGCAAAATGGACAGTCTGATACTCAACACAGCCTGAATGGTATTGATTTCAATAGCGTTCCAAAACCACGTACCTATCATCTCGGGGATGCCGCTCTTTTTCAAATCTGTCTCGTTCATAGTCTACAGAACCACGGTCTCTGTGCAGTTCCCGCTCTCTCTTGAAATCCCGATGATCTGTGTTGGAATTACCTTGACGCTCAAAATAAGGTTCACGATCTCTTTCTCTGTTGTAACGACCAGGGTGCTCTGAAAGGAGAAACCCATGGAAATCCAAACTACTAAAAAATACTCTGAATTTTTTATTATTTTTGAAGGAAAAGCAACAAACTAGCCTGTAAAAAAAGTATACAGAAACATACGATGTGAGGGCTAGAATGGACTTAATCAGACACTGAATCTCTTTTCCAAACTGTAACAGACAACCACACCATGCAATCCTACTTAAAGATACAAAATGGATTTTTTAAAGTGGCTAGGTCATTGACTGCATTACTCCTCTTGACAATATAAACTATTATTCTTATGGGCCTCTGAAGAAAACAAAGTTGCTCTAGCTTAGACAAGAGTTACTTTGTTCGAAATATGCTTTTAGAGCCTTACAACTTTTCTTAAGAGCTAACTAACCGTCTGAGAGCTAGCCAAGCACTCCCTACCTTTTTGAAAGGTTTGCCTCTCTGGTAGAGGTTCCGGACGCAGGGTTACCCTCTCCCCATATGGAATCTGTTCCACTTTACTGGTGGTTATATCTGGTTAAAAATAATAATAAAAAAATATTAAGGTTTTAAAATACCCCTCTTCCACTTCCTTTCCTCTGTCATGAAAAGCATTCAGCCAATGGCATTAAAAGCGACTGGAATAACTTACCAAAATTTCTTTTAATGGATAATGCAAAAAGTGCTATACATAAATATACAACACCATGGTTTTGAAAGTCTGAAGTGGGTTTGTCTGTGTGTGTAAGTATGCGTACCACTATCTTAAGAATGGGACTTCCATCTTTTCAGATGAGGTCAGGTAGCACGCATGGTCAGAAGATTATAAACATTAAAATGCTCTGAAAGTTTCAATAGCTCATTGAACTACTGTAATATCAAGAATATTAACTGAAACGCTCACTTCAGATTCCTAACAGTGACAATTTTTCTAACAGCTTTTAGTAAAACATTTACTTAACGGAATCGATACGGCTTTAATTAATGTTATGGCACCTTAGACAGAGAAAAAATGCTCTTTAAGCAACAATGTACAATTCAAGAACTTCTTTCTGACATGATTTCACTCCTGTTAAAACCTAAGAATGAAGGAAATTAATTCTGTTAAAAAACTTGCGTTGAATTTTAGCTTTGATAAACTCAATACTAAAAATCAGAGCCCTCCACTGTTTACGTGTTTATGCCCGTTTAGGGTGCACACCCTTCAGAACTAGGACTTTGTCTCCCTCCCTGTCTAGAGGGTACCTCACACCTGTTAAGCAGTATATAAATAATGCAAACACCGGTCACATTTTGCTTTAAGTTAGCAAATCACACCTAAGAACTGTAACAATCCAAAGTATCTTCTAGTGGTTATTTCCGTACTCAGCTACAAAGGGATTAAGGGAAAGTATCAATATCAATCTGTGATCACATCAGTTGGTGTTTACTGGAAGCAGATGTGTACACACCATTCAGTTCACATGAAACAGCTCATTATCACAGCCGTGAAGAGAACATTAAACTCAAGGCTGGAGGTTAGAGACTCCTTAAAACTGCATTGCTTAACATTAGATTACAGTGTACACAGCCCACAGGTCAACTGCAGAACATCTATGGCATACTTTGCATGGTACACTCCGTTAGAAAGGAGCTAGAAGGACTAATTAGCTCTCAGTTACAGATCAAACAAATACACTGTCACACCCACCTCGCCCGTGTCCATAATCCACAGTTTGCTGAATTACAGATGCTTTAGGAACCGGTGGAATAACTGGAGGAAGGGACACCGGCACAGCTGACGAAACAGAGGTGTGAATGGCAGGTACTTTCACAGGTGAGGAGACGGGTGGAGGCATCACTGACTCCTGTTTACACAACTCGTACTCCATATTTGCTCCTTTATCCTCATTTGTGTCCCAGAGTCCGTGGAAAGAATCCTCATCCCAGCGTTCCTGTTCCACAGTAGAAGGTGATGGTTTTAAAGACTGACCATGACTTGGGGTTGTAGTTGGAGTAGAAACTGGAGCATGTGGCCGTGTCATAGGTGTAGCAGACCTTGTCAGTGGGGCACTTGGTCTTGTCACAGGGGTGGGCTGTCTGAACAACACGGGAGGCTTTATAATAACAGCAGGAGAAGGTTTAATAGCTTGGGCTTCTACTGGTGCCTCTGAAGATAGCTGAGAAGAGACCTAGATGCAGAAAGCACTTTTAATGTAGATCTGTAAACTAACTTTCTCTCATCCTCTGTAAGTCAGTAAGCACAATGGCAATCGGTAACCAAATCATAAGCATTTCCTAGTACCTCCATCAAGATGCTACAGGTAGGAGGACAACATTTCAAGAACTGGTGCCCTGAATTAATTTGGTGTTTGTTCATTATGTGAAGGCTTAAATATTAATTATTTTTCTCCTTCAAAATAACCTTACCAATTTAAGCTCCAGTAGGCCTATCTCAGTTCAAAAGCGTCTATGGTTTTATCCCCAAAGACTTCTCCTGTCTGCAAAGATTCATGCTGTTTGTGAGGAGGCTGAAAGTCTGGAAGTGAGGCAAGTTGGTGAGGCACAAAAGGACTGATAAGGCTAGCTTCTTTCTGGAAGTCACTGGAAAAATTCCCAGAGAGTAGAAACACCTGCAAACCTCTTAATGAAATCAACATCAGATCAACATAAGAAATGGAGAGGTCTTGCCCAGTGGAAAAACAAAACAAAACACCTGCTTCATGAACCAAACATCCCCATGGAACCCCACCTGCTGAGTCTTTTCAGCATCACAGCAGATGCCAAGTTACAGGCAGCCTTATTAGTAACACACAATAAAACTTGTAGAATGGCTGTAGATACAAAGCTGAACTTTGTAAAAACAATTCAAAGTCACAGCAGAAATCTAAAGGCAGGAATCCCAAAACAGACAAGAGTTGTTTGAATACCTCTAGGCAGATGGGTGAAGTAGTCTGAGATACAAAATGTCAAAGCTGCGTAAAGTCACTTCCTAAAGGCATTAACATACCTGCAGTTCTTGGTAGCAAATCTGTTCCATTATTTTACTTTATAGACACTGTAAACAAGGAAGAGGTTACCTAGGCAAAAAGAAAACTTGCAGTGCCTCATTCACTGCATAACACTTCTCTAGAGGGAGGGACAAACAAAGCTTGGTCTGGCTAAATGTCAGACCCAGAGGTCATTACAGCTAAATTTATTGGTACCAGTAACTTTGGGATTAAGATGTGATGAAGACTAAAGACTATGCATTGACTCGGGTATCTCCTCCAACATACATTTAACAAAACTTTTTATTCGTTCTAGGAAGGATTTATAAACCTCAGTTAACATGACTGCAGAAGTTCAGTTCGTTTCTGACTGGGTATGAATTATCAAAAACCCAAATACAAGCAGCTGAGAAGAATTCCCAGAACCAACCAAGAGATTAAGCAGCAGTGGAATAACTTGCATCACAACAGGAGATGAAGTCATGGAGGTACACAAATGTGAGCTTCCATGCACTTTATGATATTCCAAGGGGTAATGAGAATTCCCAATAAAGACAGCAAACAGAAAGCTAATGCCCACTCTACATTGAAATATCTCAGTTTCTGGCAGACTTATCCTCAAATTTCTCTAACTTCAGAGAGCTCTTAAAGTAGGAAAAGCAGAGCAAGATGTTAGAACTTAGGCAAGGAACAGGAGGGTCTTCTCATGAGCCTTATGCCCCTGTTTTGGAAGAGCTCACCTCTCCTTGCACATCATTCCACAGCAATCTAGGCTGTTGAACCTCTTGCGCTACTGTCCCCAACAGGTCATGCTCAGAAGATATGGTGGACTGAATGAGTAGAAAAGGCTTTGGAAAATCTAAAGAAACTAAGAAGTTGCTTTGCCTCAACAGAAGATTGATGAGGTTGTAAGGGCTCCTGGGGAGGCATTCCACAGAGAAGTTTGACCATTAGAGTGTAGAACTGATCTGACATACACATTAATAGTAATTACTACCAGCATGTTATTAAGTTAACATAAGATGAATTTACCTGAAAGGCACCTGGCCTTGTGCTTGTGTTCTGTGATCTTGGAGAGTCCTGTGTGGACATGTCAGGTTTAAACTCTTTCAATTTCTGTAGCTGTTCTTTTTGCTCTCTGCACATGAATCACAGGAAAACATTATCAGTCTTTAGCTTAAATGAAAAATTAAAGAAATCAACACTCACGGTAAAAACCACGTACTATACTAGTATCAGAAGCCAAGTCCAAAGAAGAAAAGGACACAGCAGGCTCTACATGATCAACATTATGATTTAGAAATCCCTGTTTCACATCCACCTAACCATGGAGGTATTTAGTGTATTAGCCACATCCTTTTTTGATCACAAGTTTCCCCTGAGATATGCAGTTATGCTTTTGCGCTTGGCCAGAACTACTCCATTTTGACAGTAAAGAGCAAAGCTGGATTTTTAGCTTCTGCCAACACTTTCTGCAAAAGAGCCACCCATTGGAAATGCACGCATAAGTGCTCTCAGTGACTTGCTCTGGTTCGCACGCTAACAGGATTGAGGCCAAAGCACAACAGGGATTCCAATATTTAAAAACCAAACAGTGATTTTAACTTCTGTTTCCTTGTTTTACATATCAGAACGCTATTTAATATACAACCAATATGTAGTCTATGGAACAGAGACCAGGACCAGTAGTGAATACTACAAACACTGGATTAAAAAGTTCTATTCAATATGATTTCCTTTCCTTTAGTCTTTGTTAGCATTTTTTTATCTATGTTCTTTTAATTGTTAATAACTCTTTGTTCATATTAACTGTGTGTATTAAAAGTTCCCGAAGAACAACTAAGAATGGGATCCCACTGTACCAGACACAACAGAGACCATCCTGACTAGCAATGCATCTGTTCAGAGTCCACTGCAAGGTGAACCTGGCTCACAGAAAGGGATCCCAAGTGCTGCATTAGTACAAAGAGTAAGCTGAGCAATTGCTAGCACTCACGTCTTCTTTACACCTGGCTTAGGAAAAATACACCAGAGGACAAATACAGAACAGCATCCAGCTCAGAGTATGCTCTTTTATACAAAACAAAAGCAAAGCCAAATGAAGGCTTTAACTTTGGAGAGGACAGTAGTTATGCACCACACTACTGGTATAACTCGTGGCTGAAAACAAAAAATCATAACCAATCTCCTTACAGCTGTTCCTACTGTTCAGACTGGGGTCATCTGTTTATAAGAACCTGATGAGAAGTACCAGTGTAACTAATTTTAAGATTACCCTTATATTCAATTAAAAATCAGAATCAGCAGTATCATGTTTCTATCTCCCCTTTTTACTGGCTTAGAAAGAGGTATATGTATCTACTTTCTCACATAAAACATTTCAGTTCCTATGTTTAAATACTTCAGCCCTCATAAATTATTCACTTGGGTAGCAATTCCCGAACTATGGTCCTTAGCTTAAGTCCACTGGCTTGCAGCTAGTCACATTAAACAGCAAAACACATATGCCTGGCAACCTGAGGCAATTGGAAAGTCAGGAAGCTGAAAATGAGCTGTTGCTCCAAATTTTGGGCAAATATTGCTTTATAACACAGATTTCACAGTTACTAACTAACGCTTGTTGAATTAATGTAATTGCCATGAAAGATTAAATTATTCAGAATAAAAGTTCTCCCTTTTTAAAAATTATTTTTCTTGCATTTTGGCATGCAACTAATTCCCTTCATACGGGACAGATGCTTAGCAATCCTATGAGTCTGAAAACAAAACAGCTTCAAGAAAAGTGCAAAATGTCTCTATCTTTCAACATGGTTTAATTTAAATGTAATAATAACCACCAAACATTCATTTTAATTGCTGACTATTTTAGCATAATACCTTCTTTATGAAATTAAACCCCTGTCTTTACTAGGCACCAATCCTTAGGTATCTCTCAGTAACTCATGAATAGGACGAACCACATGAATCTCTGTCTCTAAGATGCTTCCTCTTTTCTCTACAATCTCCTCTGAAAGATCTCATTCACTGCAAATATTCAAAGAAACTCATCTTTCCATTTTATTTTGTTTTGTTTTTTTGGGGGGTTGTATTTTTTTAGTGTTTGTTTGTGTTTTTTTTTTTAATAAATCTAATGCATCAAAACCCATGCACCAAATCACAAAGATAGCATTTGGATAGATGGTATGTGCTCCACTGACTCTAATATTCCTAAATTTCCCGAGCCCTAGGATGTTTCTTATGTTTAACAAGATACTCTATCGCTTATTTTGAAATAAATACCTATTAAAGACTTAGAGAGTCTAGTAGTTGCTTTCTAAAACGTGGTCTTGCTGAACTCTTGCATTCATATCCTCCTGATTGTTATTACTGCTATTATGCTGATCCTCAGAACTAAGATCAACCAAACTTGACAAAATTATTCAATGACGATGCTGGATTTCAAATTATAAAAAGAAAAAAACCACATATGCTTTAATCAAAAAGTAGGCAGTATCCAAAAATTATATAGGTCCCATTGTGTGAATTAAGAACCACATCAATGTAGGTCTTGATGGGTAAGTATTAAAAAGCAATTATCAATGAGCTCATTTGATGATAACAAAAAGACTGGTCAGGTGATGTTGGCAGATCTCTTCCTGGAAAGTAACAAACAGAGAACATCATATTCATGGGGAAAGGGACCACCATCTATTTAAGAAAAAAAGTCCATTCACAAAAGCTGTGATGGAGGTACTCCAAATTACTTGTTCCACATCAGCTCCTACTATCATGCTGTGGTGAAAAGAAATGAAGCCGTTACTGTGTAAATCAAGGAATGAATTAGGAAAAGAACACCATTTCCACAGAATGGGATTCCTACCTGAACTGACAGAACCAGGCAACTCACCGAAGCATTTTGAGCTCCTGGGCAGCCTTCAGAATTATCTCATGCTGTCTTTGGCTAAGGACCATCACTCCTCCCAAGGACTGGTCAGAGTCCAGGTTTGAATCTGCTCCCAGCATATCAGAGGAATGTGAAGGTGGAGGAAGGGATGAATCTGAATGATCATCCAAAGACCGCAGTCTGTCTCCATCATCTGTATACCACCTATCCGACAACCGTTCCCTCTCCCAATCAGTCCTTTCAGGAAGGTAGTCTTGCTTCTCTCGCCATGTGTCATATCTCTCTGGATACTCTCTAATCCTCAGCTCCCCTCTGTCTCGGAGGTCTCTGTCATAATGATCTCTGTTCCGATCCTCCCTCCACCTATCTTCACGATATCTGTCCAAAGGTGGAAGAGGTGGCAAAGGTGGTAGAGGGGGGATATCCAGGTCACGATTCCCCATTTCTCTGTCATCCATAGGTCTCATGTCCCAGTCTCTATCCCATTCTCTGTCTAAATCTTGATCATAAATATCTGAGGATCTCCCAGTCCTATCTAGATCTCTCTCTAGTTCTCTCTCTCTTGGCCTCTTCCAGTCATCCCACCATGAATCTCGTCTGTCATGATCAGATGATAAAGGAGGTAGTGGTGGTAGGGGAGATAATGGAGGCAATGAATGGTGGGATTGCAACCTGTCATCTCTGTCATACACATCTACAGAATCATCCTGATAATCAGAGCTGTGATCTCTCCAGTATCGGTCTCTTTCCCAGTCATCCAATTGCTCATGTTCCAAAGAAGGGTCATCTTGACTATCTAAAGGAAATTCCTCCTGCATTCTATCATCTTCATGACCCCAAGAACCCCTGAGTGTCTCATCTCGATGGTATGGAGGCAACTTATCAGGGTCATCTCCTAGGTGAATGGGTTTATCTATATTGCCTGTTTCAGATCTTCCTGCTTCTCTCTCCCGGCTACCTGGCCTCCTGATGGGACCCCTCTCGCGGCTACCTGCCCGCCTGACAGGGCCCCTCTCACGGCTACCTGCCCGTCTTACAGGGCCCCTCTCCCGGCTACCTGCTCGTCTTACAGGGCCCCTCTCCCGGCTACCTGCCCGTCGCATGGGCTCCCTTTCCCGGCTACCCGCCCGCCGCATGGGCTCCCTCTCCCGGCTACCCGCCCGCCTGCCCGGGCCTCTCTCCCCGCTACCCCCCCCGTCCCCATG